TGTCAATGTCCATATATGCATAGGAAAAAATGGAAAGAAGTCAACAAAAATATCATGATTTTCTCTTGGAGGTGGGATCTTGGGTCATTTTTGTTTTCTTCTTTATATCTTTCTGTACTTGCCAAAGTGTTCCAAAATGGATTTGTAACAAAATTCTGTTGTATGTGGTTTCTCAAAGACATAATAATAATGGCTAACATGTCACTGAGTATTTAATATATGCCAGGCGCTAATCTAAGCTGTTTACTTTTACTAACACATTTAATCCTCAGAACCATCCTAGGAAACAGGTGCCATCATTAGGGACACTTGCAGGTGGGCATAATTAACTTGCCCAAAAGCCACACAGAGGAAGTGACTTGTCGAGGTTACACAGTTACAAACTGGCAGAGTTTGAATTCCAGTCGTGGCAGTGGAGCCCAGAGTTCACAGTCTGGACCACTAGCCTCTGCTGCATGGTTCCACAAATTGTGGCCTGTGGGCCAAATCTGGCCCACTGCCTGCTTCTATAAATAAAGTTTTATTGGTACATACCACACACATTCATTTATGTATTACCTCTGGTTGCTTTTATGCTATAATGACAAAGTTGAGGAGTATCAACTGAAACTACAGGGCCCACAAAATCCAAAGTGTCTACAGAAAAAGTTGACCCCTTACCTAGTGCTTCTCAAAAACTTGCCATTGACAGAAAGTTGTTGTTTTGTTGTTATGACCAGGAGAACTCCTGGCATTGCACATCAGCCCCACAGAGGCACCAGAAAAGACAAAATCGGGACATTTTTTTTTTTATTCCTTAAGGAGCAGGTGAAGATGAGAGTAATCCCAAGAGAGACAAAATTTAGGTAAGGAACGAGGAAAAGAGCTTCATTGACATTAATACGATTCCCATTTTCTTCACCGGATATTTATGCAAAGCAGTAGGAGCTTTGAGCACCCACACACAACTAAAGCCAGTCATTCACCAAAGGTCAGCATCATCTGATGTGCCCTGCAAGGGCCTGTGAGATCAGCCATACATCAGGTATACTCACTTGGAAGAGCTGGACGTTGGCTGGAGGGTCTTTCTGAAAGAGTAAGGTGGCACTGGCATGGGTGGGGTCCAGCTTGCCACACTTCTGTGGAGGTAAGTTAACAGTAGTGATCATGACTAGTTCTATCATTGATCCCACCCTTGGTTGTCCCCAAGTGGCAACCGTAACAACCGTTCCCCTCACCTCCTCATTGTACACTCCTCGTGCCGGCTGGATCTATGTCAACGTCAGAACGTGGGCTCTGAGAGCCCAGCATTTTATAACAGCCTCGGGCCCCTTCCCACCCCTGCAGCCTGCATGTGAATGGTTTGTGCTTCCTCCAACACACCAAATGGTTTCCCTCCCTCCTGCATTTATTCACGCTGCTCTCTCTCTCTCCTTGCCTTGCTGGAAACCTTCTTCCTTCTCATTTCTATGGGAAATATTTAATGAAATGGAAAATGAGCACAATATAATCTCAACAGAATCAGGGGAAATGGAAAACTCTATATGCAGCATGACCCTAAATCTGTTTAGAAAATGATGTGTGCAGATCAAAAGATAGGAAGATGACAGGTATATAGAGAGAGGGATGGATGGAGAGCTAGAAAGAGAAAGAGAAAAGAGACAATGACAGAAGATGGACAAATGAATGTAGGAAAAAGATCAGAGGAAAAAGCAAGACTAGTGGCAGTGGTTTCCTCTAGAATCTGAGAGAAAAGCATATTTAATTAAAAAGAAAAGTAATAAAAAAGTATTTAATTTTTTATTTAAAAAGTTGAAATGTTTTTTAATTTTCTATTTTAATTTTTAATATATTTCTGTGTTTTTAAGTTTGCCACAGGAAATGTATTACTCTTATAATCAGAACAAACTCAAGGTGCTTGGGTGGCTCAGTCAATTAAGCATCTGACCCTTGCTTTCAGCTCAGGTCATGATCTCACAGTTCTGAGGTCGAGCCCCACGTTGGGTTCTGTACTGTCAGTGCAGAGCCTACGTGGGATTCTCTCTCTGCCCCTGCCCGCTCGCGTGCACGCATGGACTCTCTCTCTCTATCTCTCAAAATAAATAAATAAATGCTTTTTAAAAAGAAAAAGAAGAAAGCTATTAGGGATGCTTTTTAAAGAGGGATTTCTGTCTGCGGTCCCCACATCTGTGGAAGCTTCTCCCCTTTGCACTCCCCACGCCATCTGCTCAGTTGTCACTCTAGGCTGGCCTTTAGTGATCACGTTCTCTCCCACACGAGGCCACCCCCGGTGCCAAGTGCAATGTTATGCATAGACGGTGCAAAGTAAATGCTTACTGAACCAATATGGGGAGCTGGGCTTCCGCTCAGCCACACCCTTTCCAGAACGCACACCCTCTCAGTGACCACCGTCTCCTGACTGTAGCAGCACCTGTTACATTCTCATTCCACCCTCTACCTTCTCATCTCACTCCACATTCCATTCTAACTACAAAACCACAGTTGAAACAGCTAGCCTGTCAAAAGGATCATCTGGTCTACCACCCAGATCAGCAGATTTCCCAACTGAGACTTAAAGAGAGTTGTGACCTATTCAAGTTTCAAGTGAGGTAACGATTCAGTCGGGACCAGAACCCTAGTCGTTGACGCCCAGTTCAGTGTTCTGCCTCTCAACCATCCCGTTGGTTCCCATCTCCATGTGGCTCCCTGGGCCGTGTGTCCTTGGAGCAAAGGCTCCTCTGTCCATAGATGTCAGAAGGGAGAAGCCAATTTACCACCTGGTCCACCGTACCCCTCCCTCAGACTGGCTTCTTAAATTCCCAAACAAAAGTCCTGCAGAGAGTCTGTATCTTGCCCACACCCCACACTCACATCTTTCGAGTTCTGTATGCCCAGTTTCTGAAGCACTGTCAGGTAGAACTTGAAGAAGAAGCTGAGGGTGAGGGTACGCCGAAACTCCACCATGCCGCCAGGGGCGTCGGGGGCCAGGGATAACTCCTCCGCCAGGCCCGCGCACACGTTCTGCAGCAGCTCCTCGTTCCAGAAACTGCCAGAGAGCAGAAGGTGGGAGAGCGCTCCTACTCAGCCATCAGAATCACTTGTGTGGGGTGGTAGGCACAGGGCCGTAGTCATATGAAACTTGGTTCAAAATTTGGCTTGGATACTTATACTTGTGTAACTTTAGGTAAGTTACTGGCTTGAGCCTTAGTTTCCTCATCTTCTTTAAGAAACCTTTTTTTAATGTTTCTTTTTGAGAAAGAGAGATGGAAGCCAAGCAGGGGAGGGGCAGGGAGGAGGGACACTAGGAATCTGAAGCAGGCTCCAGGCTCCGCGCTGTCGGCACAGACCTGACGCGGGGCTCAAACTCATGAACCCTGAGATCATGACCCTGAGATCAAGCCAAAGTCAGACACTTAACCGAGTGAGGCACCCGGGCACCCCTCAGTTTCCTAACTTTTAAAACTAGACACAATTTGGGTGCCTTGATGGCTCAGTCGGTTGAGCACCCAACTCTTCATTTCCGCTCAGGTCAGCCCCACTTCTTAAGATTCTCTCTCTGTCTCTCACTGTCTGTCCCTCTGTTCCTCTCCCCTGCTCTTGCTCTCTCTCTCTCTCTCTCTCTCTCTCTAAAATATAAAAATAAATATAAATAAATACAGAAATAATACAAATAAAAATAGACACAATTTTAAAACGACCACAAAATTACACTAATTAAATCTATTCAGTCCTTATAACGCCCTAAGCAACATCCTCCGTGCTTTTTACGAAAGATCACTTTCCATTTCCATGTAAAAGTGTAGCATGGAAAATTTGTATACTCCTTTACCGATGAGGAAACTGAGGCATGGGAAGATTCGGTAACTTGACTTCTCTGAGCCGTCTGGAAAGTGTTGGAGCCAGGCATCGGAACCAAAGAGCCAAACGCCAAACGTAAGCCTTATTTACCCATCTGGTTATTGGCAGCGTTACAGAGGCCAGCGCTGGGGAAGGGCTCGGGATAACTGCTGCCACACACTAGCCATAGTAGTAGGAGTAGCCACAGTCAGAGTGCAGCGGGAGGGGCAGCAGCAATACCGTAGGAGGGATACTAGCAGTGGCCGAACAGTAGCAGCAGAAGTAACAGCCGTGGTAGAAGCGAAAGCAGAAGGCGTAGAAGTCGTGGAAAGAGGAACAGTGGTGAGAGCAGTAGCAGCAGCGCTGGCGACACTGACTAGTAGCGGGAGGAGCAGCAGAGGCGCGACCGTGAGTCGTGGCGAGAGTCACGGTGGGGACACACACAACAGTGGCAGCAACAGCATTAACACAGTGGCAGCAGGAACGCTGTGGGCAGTACTCTCGGGAGGAGCCGCAGGAAGAGTAGAGCCGCAATACGAGCATCGGCGGTAGAGAGACTGCAGTGGTGGCATCGCTGGGAACAGCAGTGGAAGCCACAGCGGCAACACTAGTCCGAGGAGTGACGGTGGCAGAAACAGCAGCAGTGGCAGCAGCGGCAAGAGGAGCAACAGAAGTAGCAGTACCAGTGTGAGTAGTGCCAGCCGCAGTAACTGGGGTAGAGGCCCAGCCGTGAGAGCAATGGCAACGGTGGCCGCTCGTGGCCGCAGCAACGGCGGGCCCAGCGGTACCAAGGGCAGCGGAGCCGTAGCAGGCAGGGCGGAACCGGCGCGGCCACAGCCATGCTACCAGGAATCGAGGTACGGGTAGCGGCAGTCAGGGTAGCAGCAGCGGTAACCCCGGTAAGGGCGGAGGTCATGGCTGTAGCGGCGGCAAGAGTAACGCCGCCTGCAGTCCCGGCAGCTAGCAGCACTGCGGGAGTCGGAGCGGCACTGGCCGTTTCACTCTGCCGGCAGCTCTCACTTTGATATCTGCTTCCGCGTGGTCTTGAGGGCTGAGACGGTTCTGTCGTGCATTCCGCCGTAGCAAAGGGCCAGCTCCTTCACCTGCGCGGTTCCCGGGTTGAACAGGACCCTCATGCCGCTGGTCACCTTGGCGATGTCATCTTCTCTCCGAGAGGCCTGCTTGAAGGCGGAGAAATACTCACCCTGCAAAACAAGAGAAAGGTTCCTGCTTCTCCCCTGCATTTGCTACAACTGCAGAGGGTGAGGCTGAAGCACGGGGGTGAAAGGGCAGGTGAAGGGACAGGGCCATCGCAACCCCGCAAGGGGCTGCCGGTGGGACTCAAAGATGTGGGCGGCGCCGACTGTCCCGTGCTCAGCACGAGGCCCGGATAACACTCCCAGAAGCCGGGAAAGGGGCGAGATTTCCCCTGTCGGCCAGGAACACCCAAAGTCAAGGAAAAGGAGAGCAGGGTTCTCTCAACCAACAGCTGGGAAGAGGAAAGACATGTTCACAAAGGCTGCTCAGGGTCCCCCAGCCCCCAGTCCTCCCATCCTGGTGCCCAGCTTCAGCGCCCACTCGGCCTCTCGGCTGTGCCCAAACCTCTGTTGGCTTAACTGCCTCTCGAGCAGATACAGCCTGATGCCACCGGGAGTGTGAACGCACCCTCACCCACGCCTGTGCACGTGCTCTCTCTAGCTTGTCTCTCCCACTGGTCTCTTGTTCACGGTTAGAAACCTTGCTTCCTGAAAGAATGAACCACACTATGAAACACTAGCTGCCTTTGTGCTTTGAGCACACATTTCCCACTGGGCTCCAGGCAGGCCCTGTCTGTCAGGATAGGAGGCCCGCGTGAGTCACTTTCCAGGTAAGAACGATCTCCTATCAAGCCCTTTCTGGCCAGGTTCTGCTGGAGGTCTGAACCCACCTGGCACCGCAAATTCTGATTAACGTCAAAGGCAGAGGCTTAAGGGAAGCGTTGTTGAGAAAGCCCAGCGAAGCTCACTGTTTACGCCCACACTGGCCACAAGCTTCTGTTCGAAGAAGTCATCGGGCTTCCTCCTGACCACGACGCTAGTCCGGATTCCCGATGTCAAACATGGCCCCGGGACCGTGAGCCTGGAGTCTGGGCTTGGTTCTGGAACAGGACTGTGCCAGTCCACGGTGACGTGTCCACCGGGGTGCCACACCATGTCAGTGTCAGATTGGCAGCTGTCCTTTCTTGAGAAAGCCTCCCTACTTCTGGGTATTAAAATCTCCTTTCTGTCATGACATGTTTTTTGTTTTTAAAGATTTTCTTCAGTGTATTTATTTATTTTTGAGAGAGAGACAGAATGAGCAGAGGAGGGACAGAGACAGAGAGAGAGGGACAGAGGATCTGAAGCAGGCTCTGTGCTGACAGCAGAGAGCCCGATGTGGGGCTTGCACTCACGAACCGTGAGATCGTGACCTGAGCTGAAGTCGGAAGCTTAGCTGACTGAGCCACCCGGGCGCCCCTATGACATGTTTTTGGCTAATGTCCCTATCTGGCAAAATAAAAACCGGACTCTTGTATGCCTGTTCCCTCCTCCCTTCTCCAACTCATAATTAAAAAGAGGAAAATTTACTGATCTGTGAAATACAAAAACTCTGGGAATCACTGCTCAAAATGGTCTATAAGGACAAGCTAGAAAATCAGTAAGAAACCACCTCAGGGACATCATGGCTCTAATTTAATTAGCATTCTCATTAAGGGGGCCAAAATTAGCAAGGGCGAACATGCCTTGTAACGCGCGCTCAAGCGCTACCTGGGTAAAACTCCTAATACTCTCCATTGCAGCTGCTTTCCCAGCCTCACACAGATCACTTTTCTACACGGCCCATTATGGAATGTGTAGCTGGTGAGGGAGGAGAGAGAGGCACCAGGTGACGACACCACGGGCCCCCAGGAACAACAGCGAGGCAGCCAGAAGTGCCCAGACTTGCCTCAACAGGACAGAAAAACCTCCCATGAGCAGAAATGCAACCACGCCAACTCAGAGCAAGGTCAGCAAATAAACACCTCATCAACATGTGTGGGCCTGACCCACGGCCAGCCCCTCCACTCAGCATGCAAGCCCCAGTCTCCTCTGACCTGGGGCAGAAGTGCTCAGTGGCTGGATGTGCTCTTGAAATCATGTTGCTAGCTACCAGATGGAGATCCCCACTGGTTTCTGGACATCGGCCTGGAACCTTAGGCATTCCTGATTTCAATCCTCACAATAACCTCCCGGGTAGGTAACACTGCGTCCGTTTTACAGACGAGGAAGCCGAGGCTCAGAAATCTGAAACGATTTGCCCAGGATCACGTGCCATGAGTCCATGGAATGCCCTCTTCCCTGCCCTGAAGCTCTTCATTGCCCAGAGAACACTATGGCTGGTGAAAGGCAGTGTTCAGAGACTTTGTTAAAGTTGAGAGATGCTGAGCTTGGTCCCCGAGGCAGACTCTGGTCTCTTGTCTGGAGCCTCGCTGCGGTAAGAGTGATATGGGACGCTCCTGAGCAGCTCACCTCCCTGCTGTAGGGGATCTCGATGGAAAGCAGTATCTCCTCCGGAGCTAGCAGGGTCTTTCTGTACGCGGGGAAGAAGGTGTGATCCATCCGAACCGTTCTCCTGGTGCCTGTACACAGGCCGGATGCAGAGATGTGAGAAAGCAGAGAACGAGGCACCGGTAAATTCCCCATCCTGGTCTCTGGTACCCACAGTCAGAGGGCAGTGCTGGCACAATTAGGGCCAAGGTCCTCCATCTAAAATCCTTACGCAGGGATGTGCTGGTGAATGTTTAACAATGGACTATGTGTGGGCGGAGGGAGTCCAGATTTTGCAGTACTTGCTAATTTCTACGGTATCAATACTCCCACCATAGCCAAGTTCAGGCTCCCGGAGTGACATCAGTGAACATGAAGTTGGAAAGAGGGTGGCAAAGAGTTGACACGACACGCCTGCTGTCCTCTGAAAGGACTGCCTACAAAGGTTGGCCATGGCTGTCTTCTGGGAACTTGGATTTCAGCAGATTCCCCGATAAGATGACTGACTGTGTCTAAACTGTTCATACAAACAGCATGGTTTATGCTGAACATCTGCTTTCTGTCCGGGTGCCTGGGCTTTTGGTACCTGCCAAGAAGGGCTACGCAACCAACCCCCCAAAAAGCCCTAGCTGTTCAGTCTCTGACGAGCTTCCCCGGCAGACAACACTTCACGTGCGTTATCACAATGCAGCTTATGACCTGTGTGACGCCACCGGGAGAAGTCTCTGGAAGCTTGTGCCTGGATTCCTCCAGACTGTGCTCCATGTCCCTCTTCACTTTGCCAAGTTTACTTTGTGTGCTCCCACTTAATAAGTCATAGCCATGAGTATGACGATAGGCTGAGTCCTGGGAGTCCTCCCTGACTTCCTAGGAGTCATCAAAACTGGGGATGGTCTCCAGGACCCTCCAACAAGGACGGTGCATAGCAGCATATCGTTACTTAGCATTTCCACTCTACAGATATAACAGATGGGAATAACTCTAAGGGCATGGGCAATAGTAAAATAAACTCAAATATTAGGACGTGATGAATTTTGAGCACTTATTACCTTTATTTTTAATGTAATTTATTTTATTGTAAGTTTCTACAATTCAATTTTTAATCATGGCCATGTCTATCAAACACTCACAGACTCCCTGAAAATCCAGCTGTGGGCTGTGGTGAGCCAGTGCATTCTGGCTCTAGCACACTACTAGGTAAGGCTTCTAGGTGGCAGATCCTGTTGGGAATTCTTAATAAGGAAATGGTCTGGCTCTCCTGGCCCCCGATCTGGGTATATCTCCCTTGCAGTTCCCAGGGATCCAAACCTTAGGATGGCTGGGTCATTGACTTGTGGGCCCTGTCTCTCCAAAAAGTCACCTATCTTGTGAGCCTTCTCCCCCGTGGGGCCCTCTTTCCTGACTTCCGCATGACGTAGCTCTCACCTGTGGACACGATGGTCAGCTTGGCCCCACTGGCCATGAACACAGGGTTGAGGTCAGAGATGGGGCTGGCGGTAATGATGTTCCCTCCGATGGACTAGAACAAGCAGAGAGTGTGCGTGAGAGCCCAGCCCACCCAGGAAAACCTTGCTCTCACAGCAGGCTGCAGAACACAGGGCAGGTGGGGGACACCTGCTCGCTGAAGGCACAAGACCGGCGTAACTCAAGCATCCAGAACCACGTGCAAAACCTGAGATCCGAACACTTGGGATTGGATCTCAGCTCTAAAATTTACTCGTCGGTAATGTGGGTCAGCTCCTTGAAATCTGCTCAATTTCATCCAAACTGTTTCTGAAAGGGTTGAGGTGGTTTATCACATGATGCAAGCAAATACTTCCTGGAAGTAGATTCCCACCCAGCTGGAGAATTTAGGGGAGCTTTCTGAGCTTCTGTCTACTCAGCCACAATCAGAGGTGTCAGGTGCTTGGGGTAGGGTGAGGGAACAGGGTGGGGGCTGTTTCCTTTGGGTTTTGTTCTAATTGAAAACAACAAAATAGAATGGACGGGGTGGCTTTCCTTCCCCCCCACCCCCGCCAACCCTACACCGTCAGCTGTGGTGAGCCGCCAATGGTCCTGGGTGTGTGAATGCCGCTAGCAAATGGGGAACCTGGGGGCTAGTCTGGAGTTTAGTTGTGAACAGTCAACAGCTGGACCCCTCCCTCCTCTCTGGGGGTGTCTACCTCTGGCACTCCCCCCAACGATGAAAGGTAGTCCAAGACTACATTTGGCTCAATCTCTCATCCACTTGCTGATAGCTTCGGCCAAGTTCAGGAATAAGGTGGGCAGGAGGCTCCATCTTGCCAACCTCAGGGGTAAAGACTGAGGCACACAGCATGTGTTTCCAAGAGTGACCCGCAGGCCCCCTTCCCCAGAAGCACCTTTGGGGCTCCATCCCAGCCCTACTGAGTCGGAATCTCTGAGAGCAGTGCCCAGGAGACTGCATTTTTAACCAACACCCCACATAGCGCTAAGCACTAGAGTTTGGGGTGCACCGGATCTTCAGCAGAGGACAGACTAGCGCATCTGCCTCGTGACAAAAGGCCCCATGACCTCAGCCTTGAGGGCTCCTGAACAGGGACTCACCGCCACAGACTTGACCTGCTTCCCAGCAAACCAGCGCAGCTGCTCCAAAACACCTTTGAACACCTCTGTTTGGTGGGCAGGAAGGTTGGCGACGGCATCGAGCAGCGTCTTTTCCACAAAGCTCAAGGGACACGAGGCTCCGAAGGAGATACCTGGGAACACATGCGCAGAAAAACAGCAATTCCTTTCACAGTTCAGAAAACACTTGGACACACAGCCCCTACCATGCTTTACTGGTACCTGAGTGACGATGAACCAGCTCTCACATCCTTATAGGGATGAGGAAATTAACGCCCAGAGAGGTGAAGTGGCTTGCCCCATGCCACCCAGCTAATACACCAGCCAGGACTCAACCACAGCCCTCTTGATCCTACAACCAGAATGCTCTCTTGTCTAAACCAGTGGTTCTCACCTCAATAAAATCAGATCTCTGAGGGAGAAGTCCTGTTTCTTTATTAAAGTACCCAAGACCTCCCAGCACTGACCCCCTCCCCCTGTGAGCGATTCTAATGTGGAGCCAGGATTGAGAATGACTGTGGAGAATCTCACAGCCCCCCTTGCCCACTGGCAGTCTGCCACAGATGCTCAGCGGAGGAAGGCAATGAAGGGCGTCCCTGCTCCCCACGCAAGGCAGCTCCAGGAGAAGCAGGTGGCGGCGCAGCCAAAGGAGAGACTCTCCTGGCACCGGCCACCCCTCCCAAGGGACCCATCCCCTGCATCCCAGCCTTCCGTGGGCTCAGGGCAAACCCCTCCTTACCCTCAGGTCCATGCTCCACTGAATTCAGCTCAGGGATCCAGGCTGGGCAGACCATCTTAGGAAACAGCATATTCTTAAATTTCATCTCAATGCCTCGAGAAAAACAAGAAACCCGAAGTTAACAGGCTACTACCAGGCGGGCCTCGGCATTGTTCTCGCCACGCACACAGGACCTATGACATATTCACGATCGCATCATGCTCTGTGGGTGTCTTAGGACCGCGGTTTCCACGCTATCAGCCGGCAAACTGTGTCTTTCTCTCCCTCCCCCCAAAAATCCTCGTGGAATTCAGATGAGATGAAATTCTTTTTTGCCTTTTGATTTCTTTTATCACCCAAAAAAGCTTCCTTTTTTTTAAATTTAGCTTTCTGACTCTGTGCTTGGACCTTCAACACCTTCAGATTTTCTGCTCTTCAGTAAGGAGAGCCTGCTTGATCCTGTTGTACACACTTCGCACACATGGAACCACCATAGGCCCTGCTGATGTGTCTTTTAGTGTTAAATGAGATGAAATGTGAATTAACCTGTGTGTGTGAGGGTGTGTCTGTGTGTGAGCAGGGGTGGGGGATAGTAGATGAAGCCGCAGCATGCTAAAATATGTCAGGAACCCGTGTAAGCACTATACATGTTTTAACACATTAAATCCTCACAATAGCCTTGGGAGATACTGTGATTTTCAGTTTATAGGAAGAGAAACTGAGGCACAGGAAGGTGAGGCTCTTGCCCACATCACACAGCTAAGAACAGACAATTCTTAGAGTTGGGGTCCTAATAACACGAAAGTCTAGCATTCAGACAAAAAGGAAAATCGTCTGAGAGAGAAAACATCAAATCTGCCTCCTGGTCCCCGACACCTGCCTGAGCAGGACTTTGCAGGACCACACATCTCTACTGGCCTTCTGTCAAGTTAGAAAGGTCTGTGAGCAGACGCCCCTCTGTTCTGTTCCTGAGACCTGGTTAGCTCTGCACCTCCCAGCCCCTCCCACAGACCTACAGATGGGAAGGTTCAAAAAGAAATGTCTGCCCATCCTCCCCACCCTCTCGGGGGCTATTCAGAGTGTGTGATGGGTGGCCCAGGCTTTGCGGAGTCTGGCCTGTTTGAATACCGGTTCCCAGGATAAAGACTGCGGACAGAGACCATCCATGGCCTGTCTTGACAAGGTTCTCTCTATGCCCAGCTTCCCCAGCACCCTACCCTGGCTGTCAGTGGTTACACTGCTGCGTGTATGTATAAGGGAGAAGGGGTGAGGCAGAGGGAGTGGTTGTAAGAAATTCCCTCTCACTTGGAGCTCATGAAATTTTTATGGATTCCCTTCTATTAGAATCTAACTGGTCCAGGATGTTAGATGACCCATGACAAGGAACATGTCACATGTCAAAGGAGATCAAAGACTCTTCCAGACAGTCGTCCTCCACTTTAACTCGTGCTGCCCTGGACCCCAGGGCCACAGCTACGCAGACCCTCAGGACCACATCACCTGAGGCACATCTCACGTGTCCACGTTACTGCAGCTGGGGTCTCTGTACCACACCTGTGCTCACGGGGCCGGGGCCGCATCTGTACACTGCTAGCTTAGAGCCAAGCCAGGTCCTCCTCTCTGTGTCCTCAGATCCAACAAAAACCCAGGACCCAGGGGACTCTTTCCAGAACAATAGCCAGGAGACTCCCACAGGATGGTTGTGGCAGCTTAAAAGTAGGTCGATTGCCCCGAAACCAGAGGTCCTCTAAGACCTTGGCTATGCCACGATCCTCTCCTTGGAGCCTCCCTGGGCTTGGGAGCCAGCAAAGGAGAAAAGGGCCAAGCCAGCTCCAGGAACGGATGGACATTAGAAGCGACCTGGGCACCTCTGCTTCCATCCCTTCAAGCACCGGGGAAGAGAGCTACACATCCCCCAGCCACCCTGGCCCATTCACGTATTGTGAGCTTCACGTCCCAGGTGGTGGCAGGAACAGGGCTGGTGGCCACAGTCGTGGGCAACACAGACACAGTCACATTGGCACATCTCTCCTTTGCCTTTACCACATCACCCCCCCAGAAAAAGTGGGGGACAAGAGAATGACATTTCTGGAACCCCCAGCATCTGTTACTGGCCTAGAACCTTGACTTCCACTGCTCCCCCCTCACTTCCACTGGGAGGTACTCCAGAGAACGAACAAAGACACTGATCTGGGTAGCCCAGCTCCTCCCACAGTTCCCGGCACATAGCTGGCACCTGACGTGTTTCCGGAGAGCGGTCAGTAAGGATCTCATCCAATACTCAGAACAGCCCTTTGAGGAGGTGTTATTCCCCCCTATATATAATGGGAACCAGGGCCAGGGGAGGTAAAGCAAGTTTTCTGAGGACACACAGCCAGCGTGGGGTTGCCCAGGCAGACTGGCCCCCTGCAGGCCGCAGGCCGGCCCCACTCTCACCTATCTCCGTGTTCCCCACCACCAGCTTGGCCTCGGGGTCCTGGGCTTTGAGGTCCAGCAGCTCCTGCAGGGTCGAGGCCTGGATCCAGGTCACTCGCTCGCCTTCAAAACGCAGCTGCTTCTGAGGAGTATCTTTCAGCCTCTGGAAAATGTAGTTTCTTGCCACACAGTCTCCTTCCTACGGCCATTCCCTGATGAATTTAGGTCCCCAAAGGGGTCTAGTCTTCTACTGATTCATTCAATACTGAATTCAGAACGAGGATCCAGGTCCGGGGAGAAGGGAGGGGAACTTGCACGTACTGAGGCAGGGAGGACGTGGCACACACATGATCTCACTTAGGCTTTAGGAGACCTCCGTGGAGGAAGCATCATTAGCCCCACCTTTCACAGGTGCAGGACGAACCTGAGGACCCAGGAGGTTATGGGACCTTCACCTGCCACCAGGTGACCTGGACTGCTCTGACCAAAAGCCCAGGTTCAGTGCAGTGCCCCCTGCCCCACCCCCGCTGTCCCCAGAAGGTGCAGTGGACAAGGTGTGGGGGGGACGAGGTAGCAAAGGAAGGGGTGTCAGGAGGGAACGCAGCAGAGGCTGGTTCTAGTGTGTGAGGGGTGACGTGGGGCCGGGAGAGACAAATCCCAAATCAAACTGACAGTTTGTTCAAGGTTACAGGATCCAGAGAAAGGTGTGCCGGTGGCCTGCCCCAAAGCCCTTCCTTCTGTCCCATTGGACTCAACAGGCTGTCGTCATGTGCTCAACACCCCCCAGGGAATCTGCACTCGGGACCTTAGAGAGAGGCACGATTCTTTCCTTGCCATGAATGTGGGAGCGAAGAAGCAGAATCGTCACGGTGGGAGGGTGGGTGTGAGAGTGTCCTTAAACCAGAGCAGCAAGCCAGGCATTGTGCCCTCTGAGTACAGCTTTGCTTCTTTGTTGTTGGTTTGTAAAATAATGGACTGCTTGCAAGGAGGAGAATGGGTGCTAAGGGACTTACTTTTACATTCGACGTAGCCAGGTCAGCGGATGCTTCTGGAGCACCTGTTACTCTGCACAGGGTCCTGGAGGGATCCACTCTCTGTGCTCAGAGTGACATGTGTGCGACAAGTGTGGGTCCCTTTGGGAGTATGTGACAGAGGGACGTGACCTCCAGTGTCAGAAGGGGAAAGGAAAACCCAAAGGACAAGGACACAAAGGTCCCCATTGGTATGAATAAAGTGGGTCTCCAGGGGCTCATGGCACACAGACTTAGCGGGGCCTCTCCGTGGGGCATCACCTACCAGCAACTCTGGGGGGAAGATGGGCTCCTGGGTGGGATCCAGGGGTGTGAACTCCTCCGGGTTGAATAGAGATGGCGAGAGAGTGATCTGCTGGGAAAGGGAACAGATGAGTGATACCTCATCTCCTCCTCTAAAACGCCTGTATGATCTACCCAATCCTTTGTCCAAGCGAGCTTGTTTGCACCTCCCCACCCCCACCCCAGGAGGCTTGGCGGGGGGCCGTGCTGCTCCTGGGAAGTAGGAACAAGGAGGTCTCGCCAGAGGCCCCGGGGCTAATGTGCACCTTCACCCCCTGCTCAGGGTGGGCATCAACGTTTCCTCTTCTGGCCGCACTGCTGAGGTTGTGAAGAGAGTCCGCTGCTCCTTGGATCTGAGATTGGCCCCCAGGCTTCCAGGGAAAGGAGGTCCCACTCACCTTGTGGTCTGTCTTCTGGTTCATGCAACAGTTCAGGTCGTTCCCCCTTCCTCCGCAGCACCCACCATCCTAGAAAGATGACAGATATCCACACAGAAATATTTGCAAAGAGTTTTCACAGAAGCTACAGACCTGGATCGTGAATATTCAACGCAATTGAGGCCTGCTGCTGTGCCAGCATCAGTAGAAACAGCTGCCAGCCGCTCCCATTCCACTGACCTCTGCGCAGACGGAAGACCTCTGCTCTAACCACTCTCCCTTTCTTGGTTGATGGAGACTAAGTCACTCATGACTAGACAAGTAAGATCTCACCTGGAAGCACCAGGAAACTTTGAGAAAATGTCTCTATTAAAGCTAAGTCCTACTCTACCAAAACATATCTTTAGGTCCATTTTCCCCCTTTATTCTCTGGGCCCCCAAGAGCCTCTACTTCTACATCAGTCAAGCTCTGAGGGGGCCTGGATGGCCTCTTTCCAGGCTGGGGTCTGGTGGAGCTCCTTCAAAGCATGTCTGGGCCCAGTGTTGGGTTCAAAGAGGTGTCCAGCCAGTGTGCCAGATGACCTCATGAAAGCTAGACATACTTCCTTCCTCACTGTGATCCTATGCTTGAGGATGGGTACAGGTCTGATGACCCATCACCCTGGGGAAAGACTAGCTCAAGATCTTTCAGGGTGCCAGGGGCAGAGCACAGGGTAGAGCTCCCAGAACGAAGGAAATCAGGGTGGGGAAGGGGTGGGTCCACCTGAGTGATCCATCCTGAGAAGACGGGAGTCTCAGCTCAGGACCTGGGAGACACTCTGGAATCATGGAATCATGCTCAGAGGCAAAGGTGGGAGAAACTCCCAGACAATGCCCCAGGCACGCCTCCAAGGCAGCCAGTTCCTACAGCAGCAGGTCTGGGGTGGCCCTTCTGCTCTTGAATCATGGGAAACACCATTCCGTGCTGCCAGTTCCCAGTGGATGAGTCACACCCCACTAGTGGGCCCAGGAAAGCCAAAGGGCCACGGAGGCTGAAAGTATGGCCTTTAAGGAAGTGCTGTCAGACCTGTCACCAGCAGAGAACCCTGCCCTGGCCTCAGCCCCTGCACGTGCTGCCCCGTGCACAGCCGCCTTCTGCACTCACAGCCTTGCCTTGGATGTCACAGTGCTGTCTCCTCTGGACCCTCCCACCACGGCCTTGCCTTTTCCTCTGGAAGAAATAAATGTCCCTGTAGTGTCTCTTCTCAGCTGTCTTCCTGGATAGGGGTGATGCAGGAGAATCACCAGGCCCTAACCAAAGCGAGGGAACCTGCATACAGCAAGCCATCAGCCTCGCTCACCCGGTGCTTGGCGGGGGAAGGACATATTTCACCAAAGTACCCTTTCCGGATGAAGTGTCAGCTCATTCTTCCTGACACCGTTCTTCTTGATAATCCATTGCCATGGCCATGACATAAATTACTGGGATGTACAATAATGTGTCACTCCCTCAATGTCTAATGTCAATGAGGTTGGATAAGGCTGGGTTTTTCTCCCCTGGAGAGATTTCTCCTTTTCTCAGCATACTAGACTACTAGGCTTGTGCTCGTTTTTACTGTTCCTCCATTTCCTTCCCTGCTACTAGATGGACAGTGCCATTTCGTGCTGTGAACAGTGTGCCTCCTTCCGGCAAATCCTCCTCACTTACCTAATGTGTGCTATGGGCATGAAAATGAGGTAGGCAGGTTTGTTAGAACTGTGGGTAAAGTCAGAGTTCAAAGGCTCTGAATAAGACCTTGGGGACAGGGGTCTCCAACGACTGGTGTGCATGAGCTTCTGAGCACACCCTGTGTGCGAGTCATTTGAAGCGCTCAGGCCACTCAGCTCTACACCGCCTGGCAGCTGGTCGAGGACCATTTCAACGATGATAAAACTCCAACCCTGAGAAGGGACATGACCATCTACTACACTCAAAAGCCCTTCACTTTTTCAGAAAGTAGGAGGGCTGATAAGATTGTAGCTCTTTGAGAAGCCTCTTAAGAAATAAATACGTGGGCGAGATTAACAATCCTTGGCTCTCAGGGAAGCTTGAGCAATTGATGTAGATCAAATATTGCGTGAGGGAAGAAATACTTAATATTTAAGATGTGCCAGGCACTGTTCTAAGGGCTTTACAAGAAGTACTTTCCACAAACACTATAAGAATTATTATAGGCATTATTATAATTTTGTAATATTATTATAATTATATATGTATTATCATAACGTTATAATATTGTATGTGCCATTATAATCCCCATTTGAGAAACAAGGAAATTGCCCAGGGTCATACATCGGGTAAGTGAAAGACTAGGATTTGAACCCAGGTCTGCAGACACCAAGACTGGAGGAGTCTTTGGATCTTTTTCATTTAAGTCCGCACCTCCTTGTTCTTTGTCATCAAACGCCTTCAGCAGAGTGTGCTGCCCTCCCTCCCATAGGCTCTGTCTGTGTCTCCACTCTTTGTGGTCATCTGGATACAATATCCTTTTCCTAATGTAGCACCCTGAAAGGTCAGTGAAAGGCATCTGACTCTGCCCCCAACCCAAAATTAAATTGAGATGAGACGGTTTGATTGGGATCAGAGTCAACTCGACCCTGTTGGGGGGCAGGCAGAAGCTGGGAGAGAAGCCAAGAAGGGAGAGGCCAGCCCTCTGTCCCCCTCCCCTGGCAGATGGCAGGTGTGTGTCGTGTTTATGTAATCAGTGCCCGCACAGCCAGCCCCAGACTTCTCCCTCGGAGGTGTACGAACACTGCAGGGATTCACACTGTCTGGAGATCTCATTAGCAGGTTTATAGGCCCCGCAGAGTGCCAACCACGGAAAGCAGCTCGGAGAGGAAGGAGGAGAGGCGCAGCTGCGGGGTGGGCTGGGTTGTTACTTAACACCAGGGCTCAGCACCTGGGCCACAAGAGCTCTGTCAGACCCAAATGCCCTGGAGGAAATTAGCCTTGGGCATCGTGCCTCTTCCAGGAACAAGCCTTCCCTGGAAGGGAAGTCCTCATGCTACTGACATGGACTGAACAAAGACAACAGAGTCCAACACAGGTAGATCCACCAGCTGGCCATCCCCCCTTTTCCTCTTCCTCCAGGGGCCCTTGGACCCTGCCAACTGGGATTTTGGAGTGTCGCTGCTTGAGAGCTGTCCCAGAGCCCCCACTTACCCTGGCGAAGGTCCGGAAGCCCTGGAGGATGGGTCTGTAGCCCGTGCAGCGACACAGGTTTCCTGTGGGCCAAGGGACAAAGCTGCATTGTCAGCACAGGCACCGGGGGCAGGTGAGGGGCTTGTGACTTTACTCCTGGCTCGGTTGAATACTCACTTTACATATTCTGTTTTCTCTGCCTGGAACACCCTGTCCTCCTCCTCGTATTTCTGACTTCAAAACATCTATCACTTCTTCCAGGAAGCCTTCCTACACTGCCCAGACCGAATCAGGTGTCTTCTGAGCGCTCCCCTGCTGTCTGGTCATGGCCTTCTCGATGAGTTTATCAAACTACATTATAATCTCTCTTCCCATTCAGACTGCAAACTCCGTGAGCGTAGAGACCATCTTTCATCCCCTGGGACATCCCTGTGTCCCTTGTACCTTGTATAGTGCCTGACATATGATAGGACTCAATACAACTGATTGAGTAGATGATGAATTGAAATGGTGAAAGGATGCAAGTCTTCTCTGTTCAATTCAGAGGCACAGACACCATGCCCAGGGTCCTGGGCCCATTCACAAAAGGCCAAGTGGGAAGCCAGTTCCTGCCCAAGGCTCAGAATCACAGCCACCTTCCTCATTAAGTGGCCTTTGCAGAATCCTGTCTAATAAAAGCTGAGAAGAATGGAAGCCACGTGACTAGCCTCTGTGGAATTTTCCACATGATCTCCTCCTGTGCCAACCAGGCAGTGCCACCCCATCCGAGCGCTGAAGGACACCTCGGGAAGATGAACACTAAGGCAGGAGACCCAGGAGGTCTCCAGACCATGGGAGTGTTCTTCAAACTCAGAGAGGGCTAAGCTCCCAGCAGACCGTAGCCACCAAGCTGGGGTACCTGAGCCTTTCCTCCAAAAGGCAGTGTCCCATCTCCCAACCCATTCCTGGCTGACACTCTGGCCCTTCCCTAACCTCCGCAAAGCCCCAGCTGCTATTCGACCCCTTAGGCTGTGCCTCCAGGCCCGTACCTTGGAAGGCATCCTCGATCTCCTCAATGGTGGGCTCAGGCTGGTTCCGGAGCAGCGTGTACATGCTCATGACGATGCCAGGGGTGCAGAACCCGCACTGGGAGCCATGGCTTTTGGCAATTCTCTCCTAAAAGGGACAGACCACGTAGACATATGCATTGGCACAAACGCTCTCAGGCTCTCTAGATGACCCAGCTGAAGCCAGTCCATGTCGACATGTCACGAGGGGTAGCAGTCACTGCACAAAGTCAGTCTTAGTGCCGACTGTGGCCTTGGCCAGGTTAGCAACCCTCTCGGGAGCCATAGGCCCCTCATCTGTATCATGACGACCACCCTAGTACTTATCTCTGGGGCTGTGGTGAGGATTTAATGACATAATTCACATGACACCCTTGACATTATCATACTTGGCACATAACAGGTAGTCGACCAATGCTAGTTATTCACAGAAAAGCCTCTTCAAAGAAAACTGACCAGTACAACCGGAAGGGCTTCTCACCCTCCATTCTCTGCACTGGACACAGGACGAAGCAGGCCCAGAGTTTTAAAAGATTTAGCCAAAATCGCACATGGTGAATGGAAGAGCTGTGTCATATTCTTTTAATATACTAGCCTGCAATCCAAATCAATCAGCAGTTTAAAAACATTTTTTATGTTCATTCACTTTTCAGAGACAGGCAGAGACAGAGTGTGAGCGGGGGAGGGTCAGAGAGAGAGGGACAC